CAAGCACCGTACTAAGTGCTGAGGATACCAAAAAAAAAAAAAAAAAAAAAAGGCAAAAAATGATCCCTGGTTTCAAGGAGTTTACAATCTAATAGAAGAGACAACATGTAAACAACTGCATATAAACAAGTTACATACAGAGTATGTAGGAGATAATCAGAAAAGGGAAAACACTAACATTAAAGGGAATCAGGTAAGACTTGTTGCAGAAGGTGGGACTTTAACTGGGACCAGAAAGATGCCAGGAGGCAAAGGTGAAGACGAAGTGCATTTCAGCCACTGAAAACGCACAGGAGTTGAGAGATGTCTTGTGCAAAAAAAAAAAAAAAAAGCAAGGAGGCCAGTGTCACTGGATCAGAGAGTACATGAAAAGAGTAAGGTTTACAAAGACTGAGGGGGCAGCTAGGTAGCAGAGTGGATAGAGTTCTGACCTTAGAGTCAGGAGGACCTGAGTTCAAATCCAGTCTCAGACACTTGACACTTACTAGCTATGTGACCCTGGGTAAGGCACTTAACCCCGATTGCCTCATCAAAAAGGAAAAAAAAAAGGAATCTAAAAAAAAGTTATGAAGGCTTTAAAAGACAAAGGATTTTACATTTGAACCTGGAGGTAACAGGGAGACACTGGTGTTGATTGTAACATGGTCAGACCTACACTTTAGGAAAATCAATTTCACAGCTGAGTGGACTAGAGATGGACTGAAGAGATTTGAGGAAGGGAGACCAATAAGAACATTATTGTATTAATCCAGGAATAGGGTCATGAGGAGGCGTACTAGGGTGGTGGCAGTGTCAAAGGACAGAAGATGGTATATACAAGAGATGTTATGAAGACTGAACCTATAGGACTTTGGAACAAACTATATATTAGGGAGGATCCAGGCATGGGGAGGAGGGCACGGGGGATTATTGGGAAAGGATGAGGAATAAAGCATAATACCTAGGTTGAGAGCCTGGGTGATTGGGAGTATAGTGGTACTAGCCACAGTAACAGGAAAGTTAAAGAGGAGGGAAAGCAGAGAAGATAATTAATTCATTTTTGGACAGACTGAATTTAATTGCACTATGGGACATCCAGTTCAACCTATTCAATTGGCAATTGAAGATGTGAGTCTAGACCAGAGGTTCTCAAACATATTTGGCCTACCGCTCCCTTTTCAAATAAAAAACTACTCAGCACCCCCCTGGAAATCTACTTTCTTTAACCCTTTAACAGTTTGGTTTTTTTAATTTGCATCATTTCAAAACAAATTAAAAAATTTTAAATGACATATCTTTAATAATTTCTTGTAAATTTGTGGTTTTTTTCTTGCATTGAAATTCTGATGATGCAATATTGCGTCATGTAACTGTATAGTATCATATTGTAAACAAGTCATTACAGGCGCATATTCCTGCCAATGCATGCTAGACTTCCCAACAATGTACAACATACTCACCTGCCAACACCTGCTTGTTAAGACCTGTCAACAGACTTGACCACTGATTGGCTATAACTTGCATTTTGTGTGTGTATTTGGAAAATAATGTAATCACTACGACTTTAACTCTGTTACACAACAAACAAAACAGGTAGGAACCGTTTTTCAAAATTTTCTTATCTTTTCTTCTTTCCTTATGCTTCCACCCCCCCATTTTTATTCAACACCCCTCAATTGCACCTGAGGCTACAACCCCCCCTCACCGTTCCAGCACCCTCCAGTGGACAGTATCACCCACTTTGGAACCTATGGCTAGAGGTCAGCAGAGAAATTAAGGCTGGATAATTAGATCTGGGAATCATCAGTATAGAGACAATTGATTACATGGGAGCTGATGAGATCACCAAGGGAAATGGTATAGAGGGAGAGAAAAGCAGCCCAGGACAGAATTTTGGGAAACACCCACTGTTAGCAGGAGTGATGAAGATCCAGCAAAGGAGACATAAAAGGTGTGTCACATAGGTAGGAGGTAAAACTAGGATAGAATATTGTTACAGAAACCTAGAGAGAAGAGAACATCAATGAAGGAAAAGGTAGTGACTGACAATGTCCAAAGCTGCAGAGAGGTCAGTGAGATACTTTGGGATGTTTCTATAACTTTAAAAACATACACAGTGAGAGACAGAAGGAAAAAAAAAATTTAAGTAGTATGACTTATGATCCTAAATACCAGATTTCTCACTCCTTGTATTTCATATCAACTGCTGAGAACAACAAAACACTTTGCCTCAGTTTGGGAGGATGGGAGGCAGAGAGAAAGAGACCACAGAATCAGAGTTTAGATAGAAAAATGTTGGGAAATTACCAAAAAAATTAAAAATGAGCTGCATCTTGTAGGATTCATCTCTACATATTCATCTGAATTGAGTATTTTAATTCACGCATTATAAAGCTAACAAAATAAGATGGTCTTAAAACATGAAAAGTTTCATATTTACTCCAAAGAGCTTTCACTCAGAAGATTTAAAATTTACTTTATAGTTCCTGTGGCTGAATATACTTAACTATCCCTTAACCAGAATTTTGTTAATGCTTGCAGTAGTCAATGAAATTAGATCTACTGCAATATGCTGTTATCAATTACAAAAAATATTTTTGGATCAAAGTGTTTTGGTTTGGTTTTTTTTTTTTGGTTTTTGGGGGGTTTTTTTGCTTAGGCAGTCGGGGTTAAGTGACTTGCCCAAGGTCACACAGCTAGTAAGCGTCAAGTGTTTGGTCTGAGGCCGGATTTGAACTCAGGTCCTCCTGACTTCAGGGCCGGTGGTCTATCCACTGCGCCACCTAGCTGTCCCCAAAGTGTTTTCTTAAAAACGACTTTTAGCAAGATGAGAATTCTCTCTGAATACTTTTTCAACTACTAAAAAAGCCTTGACTACACAGCAATTTGTACAAATAAAGCTCACACCTGAATACATATGATTATACCATGCTGATTTCAATAAGAAAACAACAGTATCTGATTAAGAAATTGCTTCAAGCAAATAATTTTTGACATCTGGCACATCCCTTAAAATATTCATTAAGTAGATAATATATTTGACACAGTGTTTTATAAAAGGAATTCACTAGTCCCATTACATTTAAGGACAGGTCATCTTCCACCATTAACCTAGTTTTTCAAGTTTATGATGCCATTTTAAAAGTCACTTCAGGTGAAAACTTGCCAATTATGAACCATATCAAGTCAGTAAATTGCATTTTTAAAAATCCATTTCTGTATGCTTACAAGATCATAGTGGCTGCATTTTGTTATGCCATCTTTATCTATCTAAATTTCTAGAAATACTTTTTCTTATTTGCAAAAATACAAACAAAAAGCAACACAATTAAATCTATGACATATAACGTAGCTGTCTCAAAATGAAGATAAGGAAATGTAAATGTAGAATTCAGACAGAGATGAATACCAAATTAAGCTATCATATCTAGCTACTGAAAAAAGGTTTCAGATTAGTATTCTTCTAAGTACTCTCTCTATGTGCAGCAATACCCAGATGTAATGAGTCAAGTAGGATATGGAGGGTGATAAAGGAGAATGTCAATTGCTTTTCTCACTTTAATGTAAACACTTTACAATTCAATTCCATTTAACAGTCTTTTACTAAGTATCTACTATATTCTAGCCATTGTGCTAGTGTCTGGTGACATCCCCAAACAGTGGGACCCAAAAGTCCCTGTTATCAGAGTTTGAATTTTACTGGAGCAAAAACCTACAGACAATCAATCAATAAAGCAACAGGCATTTAATAAGTACCAACTAGATGCCAGGAAATGTGGCAGGCAATAAGGATACAAATACAAGAATAAAACAATCCCTACTTTTAAGTAGAAAACATCCCACCATGGAGTCACGATGTATTTAAGTACATACACAATAAATATAAAACAAAAACAAAATAGTTAAGTATTAGTTAGGGAAGAGGACACTAAGACTTCATATAGAAGATGGGGCTTGAGCTGTGTCTGAAAAAGATGTATTTTGTAAAGGAAACATGAAAGGGGAGTATTTTCCAGGAATGGAGGACCAACCACACTAAGGTAAGCCAGAAGATAGAGGGCTTAGTGTGAGGAACAGAAAGTGAAGGACAAAGAGTAATAGCAATAAACCCCATAGGCCCTGTGACTGCTCCTTACCCTAGAATGACACCTCTAGGCACAGGTATCCCCTTTGGTCTAACCTGGATCTGTGCCCCAAAATTAGGAAATAGGGCAACAAAGATGCCAGTTCATACTTACCCCCCTTTCAAGGCCCCAGTATGGGTCTGAGATGTCCTGGTGTACAGCTTCGTGCACCTGGAGCACCCCCATGGTATACTTCTAACTATCCATTTCTGCAGTAACCATAGATCTGTCTCCCTATGCCAACATGATCTGAAAAAAGTAACTTACCATAACTTTTTCTTGGATCTCAACCATCAAGATTTAGTCAAGTGCTTTCTCTACCTCTGTTTGAAATGGGGCAGCACGCCACCGTACACCTTCCTACTGCTCTGCTGCCTTGGTTCCACCTCACAAGTTAAAGTTCAAGGCTTTATGACAAATATAAGTTGCCCAACAATTGATTTTTCTATTTTATTGAGTTGTTTTTGGCATCTGATATAATGCCATAATGTACAAAAGCATATGTAACAGTGAACATTGTTACTTTTAAAAAGCAATTATTTCTAACTATTAGCAAGTACAATTTAAATGATTTTTTGCAAATTCTAATTAGATATTTATTTTACAACATTTAATTTTATAGCATTAACTGGATTTCTCCATATAGACCCTGTACCTCAGGGAGAGATTTATGCCAAGAAAAGAGGACAGTCATCTAACTGTGGCCAGGTTTATAATCAGTGGCTACTAAAGAGCAGAGGCACACAACAGAAGCAGAAAGGCAGTTCCACTGTAATATAACAGGAGATCAGCATAATCTTTATTGGAAAGGAAAAACAAACTATGACGGTGAATAAATGAACTGGAAGACACTGGAAGATTCAGGGCAAAAAGCAATTTTCTCAAAAAGCAATTTACCTCTGCAACTTTTGGTGGAACTCCATCCCCAAGCACTTCCCTAATGAAGCACTGCTGGCCCATGTAACATGACAGTCCACATGTCCTCTTGAAGGCATCTTTCAGTCGCTTCAGCTCTACATCTGTGACTGTAATTTAGAAAGAAAAGACAGATATAAAAACAGGAGGGAAAAAAGCACACTCAAAATTTTGAATCGTTTTTAACTCAGTTCCTAAGAAAATACATCTATGAACAATAAAAAAAGAGAATTTTAGAACATATTTCCATTTTCTAGATAAGTAAAAGAAGTTAGGACATAAATTCTAGTAAGAAAATCTTTTACATAAAGTCATATATAAAATATGTAGAATAACAAAATATTCAGTGTCGCTTGTTTAAAACTATTTGTTGCATTAAAGTGTTAATTTATTACGACTATCAGAAAATAAGTACAAGTACAAATTTTGGAAGAGACAGCAAAGAATGTAGTATTATAGCACAAATTATCTAGATCAACAGATAATTGAAATATAATTTATATTTCACATCACACATTTTCTAGCGAAATTCAAGTATTTCTCCTAAATTATTGCAATAGCCTCCTACCTGTTTACCTGCCTCATCTCTTCACATCCAGCCACATCTCTCCCACATACATATGACGCTTCCTTCCTGATACACATCACAAAAACCTTCCACATTTCACACATCCTGTATACTCCAGACAAATAAACCTATTTGCCCTCTTACCCTTTCCTACCTACTTGATTGTTAATGTATCCATACATTTTCAATCTACTCCTCCCTCCTCCCCTCAACATCTAGTTCTTGAAATCTTTCAAGTTCTAGCTCAGGTGTTGCCTCTTTAATGAAGCCTTTCCTGGTTTCTCCTTCTCCAACACCACCATCACTACCACAAGACAGCAATTCAACCTTTAATTTAACTAAGCCTTTCAGCCTATAGTACCTTTAAAGTGTTAGGAGGAAAAAGTAACTCAATAAATGGCTTCCTTGCCAAAAGCCACTTTGATTAAGGTAAAGACTTTTAAAGCACGCTACTTAATAAGATATTGGCCTCAGCAGGAATCAAGAAGTTATCTTGTTTAAAAGGAACCAGGATAAGTATGAAATGATCAACTAGAGGAAAATATCTCCATATCAAATATCCTTGATAAGAGTTTGATATCTGAGATACATACAGGTAACTAACAGAAACATAACGACAAAACCCATTCCCTAGTAGAAAAGTGGTAAAAGGATACAAACCAACAATTTGAACTAATAACAATAACAAAAATGTTCATCAAAAAACTCTGAGGTTTCAACTCACACACAGTAATTTGGTAAAGAAATACGATGGTAATAGTCAATGTTGAAGGGCATGTGAAAAGACAGACACACATGTATTGTTAATGGAATGACGAATTGATCTAACTATTCTGAAAAGCAAGAAGTGGAGGTAAGGAGAGTGTATATTCCAGGAATGAGAGAACAAACTGTGTGAAGGCTCAGACTCAGAAAATGGAGGAAGAGAAAAGTCAGTCTGGCTTGATGATAAAACAACATGAAGAAAAGTACAATAATAGATAATAAGAAGTCTAGAACGTACATATCTCCAGAACAGGAATAGGTGTAGGTTTAAGGAATTCAAAGATGAAAAATCAGGGCAGCTAGGTGGTGCAGTGGATAAAGCTCTGACCTTGGAGTCAGGAGGACCTGAGTTCAAATCTGGCCTTAGACACTAGACACTCATCAGCTGTGTGACCCTGGGCAAGTCACTTAACCCCAACTGCCTCACCCAAAAAAAAAAAGCAGAAACAAACATGAAAAATCATAGTCCCTACTTCTAAATAACAGATATTAAAATACAAAGAATTTTTGTATACATGAACACAATAAGTGTGATAAAAAGTTGCATGGAATAAGGCCAGAAAATGTGGTTTACAAATATTCAAAGAGTCTTACATAGGTTGCAACATTTAAAGAGCTCTAACAGCACCTGTAGGCCTTCAGTATTGTAAAAAAAAAAAAACAAAAAAAACAACAGAGCTGAGCACATATATAGGAAGAATAATTAATTAAAATAGGAAACTATTAAATCCCAGGAGAGATGAACTACTTTCCCTATTCACTGCTCTCCCAATAAAGCAAATTCCCAGTAGTCTTCCAGCAGCCCATCACCAGTGCCTTAGGGCTTAGGGCATCTCTCCTCTTTAAAATAGGAGAGAAGGGAAGAGGAAGAATACTTTGGAGCACAGTAACTGAAAAACATTTATTTCTTAAGCCTCTACTGCTTATGTTAGCATTATGTTAGATACTGAGGACACAAAGACAAAAATTAACACAATTTCTGCCCCCAAAGAGTTTATAATCTAACAGGAGGGATATGCTACATATAGAAATAAATATGTCTAGACAAAAGATACGGATGGACCGGGTTGAGATGAAGGTCACTTTGGCTTCAAGGACGTTGGGTTAGGGGCAGCTAGCTGGCACAGGCCCTGGAGTCAGGAAGATCTAAGTTCAAATCCAGCCTCAGACACTTTACACTTACTAGCTGCATGACCCTTGGCAAGTCACTTAACCCCAATCGCCTCACCAAAAAGAAAAAAAGAAAGGATGCTAGAACTTCATGAAGAACCTTGAAGAAAGAGAAAGATTTCAAAGGGCAGAGATATTAAAGGAAAGAGTTTCCAGGCACTGCGGCCAAGATAAGGCACTAACTAGTATTAAAGGGGACCATTAAAGGCTTCTCATAGAAGGTGGAATTTTAGATGAAACTGGAAGGAAGCCAGGGAAGACAGGATACAGAGACCAAGAGGAAGAGAATCCCAGGCATGGAGGAGAGAGCCAGTTAAAATGCACGGGAGTGGGGAGATGGAATGTCTTATGAAAGGAATAGTAAGGAGATCAAAGTCACTAGATAGAACAGTATGGGGTAGACAGATGGAGAAGAGTAAAATGTAAGAAGACTAGAAAGACAGGAGTGGCCCAGGATATTAAAGACTTTAAAAGCCAGAGAATTTTTAATTTAATTTTGGAGGCAAGACAGAGCCACTGAAATTGGCAGATTAGGAATACGACTTGATCAAATCAGCAGCTTAGGAAGATCACTTTGATAGATAAGCAGAGGATGGACTGGACTGTAGAGAGACTTAAGGAAGACCAGGCAGAAGGCTACAGCAATAGTGTAGGAAGGATATGAAGACAGCCTGCAAAAGGGTGGGAGCAGTGTTACAGGACGGAAGGAAGGTGAATATAAGAGATATCACAAAGGTGACAATTGATATTACAATACGTGACAATAGACTGAATATACGGAGTGAGACTGAGGAGTTGAAGATGACACCCATGTTGTAAGCCTGGGTGGCTGGGAGGATGGTAATGCCTTCCAAAGCAATAAGAAAATAAGGAAGACAGAAGGGCTGAGGAGAAAAGATAATAAGTTAAGTTTTAGACGTGTTGACTTTAAGATGTCTATGGGATAGATCCTAAGTATTGAAGAACTCACTATTTGATCAAAAAAAACCCCAAACTTCTGAGAAAATCAGAATGCAGGACGGCAGAAACTTAGCATAGATCAACATCTCACACTTTAAACCAAGATAAGCTCCAAATGGGTATGTGACTTAGACATAAAGGGTGACATCACAACAAAATTAAAGAACCAAAGAAGAATCTACCTGTCAGAACCAAAGATAGGGAAAGAGTTTGTGACCAAACAAGAGATAAAAAGGTTCACTGGAGATAAAATAAACAATTTTGACTACATAAAATTAAAAAGATTTTGTAAAACAAAACCAGAGCAGCTAAAATTAGAAGAAAAGCAGGAAATTATGGAAAATCTTTGCCACAAGTTTCTGTAATAACAGTCTCAATTCTAAGATGTGTGAGTGAGTGTGTGTGTGTGTGTGTGTGTGTGTGTAATGGAATCAAGTTTATTAAGAATAAGAATCGTTTTCCAAAAATGGTCATAGGAAATGAACAGGTAATTATCAGAAGAAATCCAAGCTATCAAGTCATATTTTTTTAAAAAAAGCTATAAATCACTAATATTTAGAGAAATGCAACTTTAAAAAACTGAGGTACCACCTCACATTCAACCAATCAACAAACATTTATTAAATGCCTACTATATGTGCCAGGTACTGTGCTAAGTGCCTCGTATCCAACAGATTGGCAAAACTGACAAAAAAGGAAAATGACATATATTGGAGAGACTGTGGGAAAACAGATACTTTAACACAGTGTTGGTAGAGCTGTGAACTGATACAGCCATTATGAAAAGCAATTTGGAACTGTGCCCAAAAAGCTTTTAAACTGTGCATACCCTTTCACTCAACAACACCACTACTAGGTTGTTGTGATGGCTGTTGTTGTTCAGTCATTTCATTCATGTCCAACTCTTCAAAAATCCATTTGGGGTTTTCTTTGCAAAAATACTAAGGAGGTTTGCCACTTCCTTCTCCAGCGTATTTGACAGATAAAGAACTGAGGCAAACAGGGTTTAAGTGCCTTGCCCAAAGTCACACAGCGAGGAAGCATCTGAGGACAAATTTGAATTCAGGAAGTTAAGTCTTTCTGACTCCAGGCCCAGCATTCTGTCCACCACACCACCTAGCTGCCCACTACTAGGACCATACCCCACAGAGATCAAAGAATGAGAAAAAGGATACATACATACAAAAATATTATAGCAACAATTTTTGTGGTGCCAAGAATTGGAAACTGACAGGATATCCATCAACTGAAGAATGGCTGAACAACTTATTCTATAGTAATGTGATGGAATACTATTATGCTATAAGAAATGATAAAGGAGTCACATGATGAAGTGCTCTAAATCACTTTTGATTAAAGAAATACAAATTAAAACAACTCTGAGGTACCACCTGACATCTCTCAGACTGACTAATACGACAAAGAAGGAAAATGATAAATGTTGGAGAGAATGTGGGAAAATTAGGACATTAATGCATTGTTGATAGAGTTGTGTACTGAGCAATTTGGAACTGTGCCCAAAGGACAACCAAACTGTATATACCCTTTGATCCAGCAATACCTCTACTAGGTCTGTATCCTAAAGAGATGATAAAAAAGGGAGAAAAGACATACATGTGTAAAAATATTTATAGCAGCTCTTTTTGT